ACAAAACCTGAATTCAATAACTTTAAACTCGCATGATTAAGTAGATGAAATTAAGGTAATAACGCCCGATGTTTGTTTGTTTGTTTTTTTTTGTTTATTGTTTTATTTCGATGAGCTCCCCCCCCCCTCCCTCTCCGTACTTGAATTGTTTTCTATGGGCCGGTTGTATCGATTTTAATTTCAAATGATATACAGTGTTCTCTCTCTCTTTCTCTCTCGTAAAGCTATTTTACTGATTTTCAGCATTCAGATGGCAGCAAATTATATGCATTGAACATGTACTCTACCAAAGAACTATGACGTTTCCAAATTCAAAAAAAAAAAAAAAAAAAAAAAAAAAAGAATTGAATTTCTCATTGATAACGTGCCCAGACGAGGTACATGTAACTTAAGGGGCATCGAATGTAGGGGGAGTATATACTCAGGTATACCGTGACCATGGAGACAGTATACATCCAGCTAGCAAGTGTCAATTAAAAAAACTCACAGCAATTGCTCTTAATACCCGCAATATTTTCGAAACAGGTGGATGATTACCGATACGTGATGACCTTGGCTTCACTTTGAAACTACAATTATTAAAGTGTTGAAATTAAATAATTATGAAAATTACAAAGTTCAAATACAGGTACCTATGTAATGAAAAAATATATGTTAGTTTTCGTACAGTCCCTGAAACGTTCTACTTTCCCACTTGAACGGTGAGCGAACGCTGAACGAACGGTGAACGAACGCAGAGCGAACGGTGAGTGAACGATGTGTGAACGCTGAACGCAACTTGGTGAACGATGTGTGAACGCTGAACGGTGAGCGAACGCAGAACGCGAACGGAGCGCAAACGCGAGCGCAAAGTGAACGGTGAACGCAAGATGAACGATTTATTCGGAATGCCTCTGATCTTTTCCTTGCATTAAAACTATTCTATTGTATTCTATTGTATAGCCTGGTGCTAAAAAGAAGATAAATAATAAATAAATAAACAAATCAATGAAAATTGTCCTAAGAAAAACGATACATGCACATTATGTAAAATTAGTAATTTAAGTTTCTTACAATATTTTCTGCACATATGTACGATGTTTAAATTCAACTTTTTAATAACACGATTTTTTATCGCCGTAAAACATTGAACATTGTTACCTAACGCTGTAGTTTAAAAGATAAAATTAATCTAGTTGTAAAATAAATATGTTTATTCTTATTTGATATATAAAACCATTACAAATAATGTGGATTTAAGAGAAAACTACGGACTTAAAGAATGAATTACAACGGTTGTAACAACCATACATAAATTTCCGTGCCAAGGCGATTCCGTGTAAAATAATGAGAAAAAAAATAAATTTTTTTACAAAGGTATGTGGACGTATTGCATAAATACACTCGTATTTTAAAATCTTAAGGCAATAATATATTTATGTGTCAGTTTTATTTTTTATGATGATTTATTGAACAGACTTCTACATTTATCTGTAGACATTTCCCGGCCGTGATTATACTCGGACAAGATGATACAAAGAGGCAATCATATTATTTGTTATATATTAAATTTTCACAACTTGATATTTCAGTAATATGCTGTCATAATTTTTATTAAACAAATGAGAGAGAGAGAGAGAGAGAGAGAGAGAGAGAGAGAGAGATATTCGGTTTTAGCCCCCCTTTCCTCAAACGTTTGTACCTATGTCAAACAAAAAATTCTTAATTTATTTCTAAATATCAGGCAGTGAAAGTAGCTATTTTGTATCAACAAATCCATTTGTTTTACAGTCATAATCGGTTTTTATTTTCCTGCTTCAAGTTCACACGAAGTCCACGTGCTTGACCTGTCAATCAAAATCATTCGACGCTGTGCAGGTGTGAAAGTCTCGCCACACCGAAGGCAGAGTGTTAGTATTTCCAAGAAGTTTTAACATTTTTTCTTATCATTTCTAGATCTGATTCCAACATTTCTAAAACAAAATAAATAAATGAATAAAATACATTGGGAATAAACACTTGGAATGATTAAGCCGCTTGAATTTGAAACAAACTCCCTGCCAATTTAAAATATCACCGCCGGCACATGTATACTTTGAACTACTATTGTTTAATGACTTTGTTTAGATGCATGTTTGTTTTGAGACTGAAATTTTTGTGCTACAAAACACATTAACTTCTTTTTAAATGTTAATTCAAATATACTGGAAATACTACGTAACCGATTTAGGGGAATGGGGGGGGGGCTTTTAATCATATCGAATATCAAACATATAAAGTTATGGTGGACAATATCATTACTGGAGAATAACCTTGGTTATATAAATGATAATCATGTTATAAAGGCATTTCTCTCTCTCTAATTAAAGACTTTATATATGTAAAGTAGAAAAAAATTCTATAATGTATTACATTTTATGCAAATATTTTTTTTAAACCACACTATCAATTTAATTCGCTCTAAAGATATTTAATTAACTGGATATCCGCAGTACTGTTTATAATTCTCAGAACTAGTTCTAACATGTATTTCTGTATTATTTGAAGAAAAAAAATGTGATAGAAATAAATATTTTCGTATTTTTGCTGCAGTTGGTAAATTAAACTGACTTCGTTTGTTATCTATCTATTAACGATTTGTCGTCTTTAACGTAACAACAAAATGTTGCAGTGCTTGAAGTATCTGTATCTTGCCCGTATTTAAAATTTAATTTTTCAACATCGTACTACATAGGTACGCACATGTACTTATAACAACATTTATTTTCCAGATAAATTTAATAAATAACCTAACAGCTAAGTAAGAATAATAAAAAAAATATTGTAGATAATTTTTTCCCATGAAATAATGATTCTTAAAACACGATATGTTAATAATTAAATTCAAAACCTGTAAATCCTTACTTAAAAAAAAAAGATAAGTCCTTTCCTTTCGGAGTTCCGAATGACAATAAAGACTGAACGATAAGTGAACGCTGAACGCAAGGTGAACGCAAAGTGAACGAACGAAGAGCGAACGCTGAACGCTTTGTGAACGGTGAACGCGAGCGCACGGTGAACGCTGAACGCAAGACTGTGAACGGAGAGCGAACGGTGAACGCACGGTGAACGAACGGTGAACGCACGGTGAACGAACGGTGAGCGAACGGAAAAATGGGAAAGTAGAACGTTTCAGGGACTGTATTAAGGTATCTTTGCAAGCTCAATTTATTAATGTTGGAATTACGTGTACTTTTCATGCACAAGTACCTAACGTACCCGTCTAGTATATTTTTTATGTTCATATAAAGTATTTCGAAAATTACATGTAGTACATGTAAGAGGTTCGTGAACATGTAAACCTGTATAATTATATATATCGACGCGAAGGAAAGTGACAAGAATTTTTGCGTTTTTTTTTTTTTTTTTTTTTTTTTTTTTTTTTTTTTTTTTTGTCTGACTTGCAAGTACATGTAGTTACAAAAATTCAAAAACATACAATGTAAGGTCTACATGTAGGATAATTAGAATTGAAAAAATAATCTTTCCCTGTATACATGTATTTAAATCAAGCTGTTTATTAAATTTTGGTAAAAGATTAATTTTAAAAAATATCATAGTAGTTAAATGAGATTTTTTTTCCTCCAATTAACGTATTGACATAATTCACATTTATTCTGTACAATGTAGATTTAATTTTTTTTTTCATGATCAATTATTAAGATCGATATTTTTGAAGTTGATCTGGATAAATTAGAACGTGCATGTAAATTGAAATAATTAATAAAAAATAATTAAATTAAAGCACGTACATGTTCTTATACTAACTGTTCTTATAATAATATTCTTATACTATATCTTAAGATAAAAAAATTCTATAATTTATCGAAGACCATTTTTTTTTCTTTTTTTTTCTTTAGTAACATATGTTATAACCATTATTATCTTCTTTTTTCTATTATAAATTAAAGTACTAATTGTCTGATAAATTTACGCAATGTATATTTATATATTAATGGATTTTAAAAATATAAAGAAATTAAATATTTAACTATACATGTAACATGCTACCTGGATAATAAAAATATATAATGTATCAATAGATTTTAAAGATAAAAAATAATGAAAATAGATGTGTAAATATTGCATGTTGTCTGGAGAATTAAAGTATACAAATGTAAAATCATGTTTAAAAATCATATTAATAATATTTTTACATAGTACATTCACACGCTTTGCTTGTACAATGTTTAGATTATAAACTGGCATGTTGACTGGTCGATGCGCTGATGGTCAACGCATTTTATCACTTATCCTGATTGACAGACCTGTTCGGCATGTTGATTGGTCGACGCGCTGATGAGTTAATCGCTAATCCTGATTGACAGCTCTGTTACGCAACACCGAACGCGCGTTCGCTTTCTGGGACCGCTACTGAATTTGGGGTTCGCTTTCAGCGTTCGCTCTGGGTTCGCTGCGGGTTCGCTACGGGTGCGCTCCGGGTTCGCTCGGGGTCAGCACTAGCGGACCCCAAGCGAACCCGCAGCGAACCCAGAGAGCAAACCCGGGGTGCGCTCTGGGTTCGCTTTCTGTTAGGTTGTGTCTGGTCGGTACTGTAATGTAGGTAAACTGTATCAATGTCATTTTTTAGAGGAAATTTACTCTGTAGATTTTTGTTATCTTTGCTATGTGAATCGGTGATTTTCTTTTGGGGGAAATTTACTCCGTAAAATCTTGCTAAATTGTCAATATTTCCTCTATATATTTACATTTCAATTTGTTTGTGACACTAGATCGTAATTCTATTAGAAAAATGCTGAAGATTTACAATCTTATCAATAAATATCTTATAAAACTGTGTTTTTTTGTTAGATTTTGTCAATACCTAAGGCCAAAATGCCTAAAACAGAAAAAAAGATTTTCTGTTTTGATTTTGGAATGCGTTATTACTACCCACACCACACACACTTATACTCCCACCAATATCACTACCCACACCACATAGACTTATACTCCCACTAATATTACTACCCACAACACACAGTCTTATACTCCCACCAATATCACTACCTACACAACACTGACTTATACTCCCACCAATATCACTGTCTACACCACACTGACTTATACTCCCACCAATATCACTACCCACACCACACGCACTTATACTCCCATCAATATCACGACCCACACCACACAGAGATATACTCCCACCAATATCACTACCCACAACGCACAGACTTATACTCCAAACAATATCACTACCTACACCACACAGAATTATACTCCCACCAATATCACTACCCACACCACATACACTTATACTCCCACCGATATCACTACCCACACCACACAGACTTATACTCCCACCAATATCACTACCCACACCACACAGTCTTATAATCCAAACAATATCACTACCCACACCGCACAGACTTATACTCCCACCAATATCACTACCCACACCACACAGTCTTATACTCCCACCAATATCACTACCCACACAACACAGACATATACTCCCACCAATATCACTTCCCACACCACACAGACTTATGCTCCCACCAGTAAAACTACCCACACCGCACAGACTTATACTCACACCAATATCACTACCCACACAACACAGACTTATACTCACACCAATATCACTACCCACACAACACAGACATATACTCCCACCAATATTACTACCCACAACACACAGACTTATATTCCCACCAATATTACTACCCACACCACACAGACTTACACTCCCACCAATATCATTACCACACCACACAGTCTTATACTCCCACCAATATCATTACGACACCACGCAGTCTTATACTCCAACCAATATAACTACCCACACCACACAGACACGATTTATACCATCATTAACATGACTTTCAATTGATCACCAATATCACTACCGGCACCACACAAACTCTGCTTATACCACCATCCACATCACTATCCATGCCAGTAAGATCACCTCTAATACCAGGTATCATCTTTAAAAGTCTAATTTATTTGAGAATTTGCTTAACTGGTCTAATATAGAATATTTTGCAATTAATGAGAATATTATCAAATATGTAACAGAGCAGAATTTTTCATGAACATAAAAAGAATAACAAATATGTGTGTTCAGTTTGATTTTTTTAATAATGGAAGTGCATGTTTTATACATCTTTCCCATACTTCTTTTATCAAAAAACAACCATTTTATCTCTTATAGGTAAATACAATAGGAGCCATTTAGACAACGTGATAAAGAAGAGGAGACAATGAGTGATATCATTTTATATTGATCAATAATATATTGACTCCACATAATATAATGATAAATACTACATTGACTTCATTGATTTTAAAACTTACATCTACATAATATAATCAAGATAATAATAAAGAGTTATATATGTGACTCTGTGGAGGTATCTATTTTCGAAGCAAAAGTTATTGAAGTTGTTATGTTGACAGGTCTTCTAGAACGTGGCGGATAGAACTTTATCTAAAGAGAGAAACCATCATTATACAGGTTTAATCAATTTTCTTTTATTCATTTAACACGATAATAGGATTTGAATAAAAATGATGAAGCTTTCAAAAAATGCTTCGATTTTTTCTATTTGGAGCATAACGGGAACGATAACTCAGGCTACTACACAACAACATTATTTTTTTTTCTTTATTGCATCCTATAGTTTTCAAAACCACTTTCAACTATTTACACGTGTTTGGGAAATTTTGAAGTACGAAATTGGGAAAATCTAGCACTTTGTGCCATTGGGATTGTGTCCGATATTCGGTCCGAATTTGAGGGGAGTGGCGGCCCTGTTTAATGCGACATTGTTTTCTCCTTACAGAATGTCTGGCAGTGACACAGACTTTAGGGTACACTGTGTATAGCCAAAGGGAAATCACTGTGGTAAATATTTCTCTGTTACTTTATATAAAGTGTCAAAGCAGATCTAGTGTTTGTTATAGCAATGGAATCACCATAGAAACTCTAAGAAAGCAATATCGAATGGATGTAACCATTCTTTTTTTTCTAACTAATGTATTTCCTTAAGGAATTAATAGATTATATATTTGAATGAATATACATTTAGCTACCTGAGCCAAAGGCTAAAGTGGACGTTCGGCTTCCGTCTGTCTGTCGTTTGCTTGTCTGTTGTTAACATCCCTCTCGAGAATTTTTCACTGATATGAAGACGCCACCACTTGCCGGTGAGGAACTGCAGATTTTGACCTATACTTGGCACTTGAGGCCATTGAGAAGTGAAGGATCTTTTTCGTGCCAGCATCTACTGCGACATGGGACCTCGGCTTAAACGGTCTCATCCAAAGGACCGGTCTTCACGTCTCACAGTGGGATTCGAACCCGCGACTTTAGGATCAACTCCCTACTCCGCGACTCTAGAGCAGACGCTCTACCACTGCGCCATTCTGCCTGTCATATGTCGTATTAAAATTTTCCTATTTTTCGATATCTTTTCAAGAACCACTTAAACCAATTTTAACTAAATTCGCTATAAAGCATTCATGGGTGAAGGGGATTCAAGGTTGTTCAATTGAAAGGACCACACTCTTTTTCAAGTGGAAATAATGTAGAAATAGTAAAAATTTAAATGCATCTTTTAAAAATCTTTTTCCCAGGAACCACTTGACCGGAAAATAATATTGTTCTACCGCCTACCTCTAAGTCAATTTTCAAAAGTTAAATTTGAACTATTTTTCATTTTCATATAGATATTTATATGGATTTTTACAAATCATAACTTTTTGTGAAAAAAGGGAGATAACTCTAAAGATTTTTCGCCATGGAAATCGATATAAACTGAAAATATTTTTAAATCACCTTTCCCCCGTGAAACAAAAATTCCTCTTTACAGGTAATAAAAAATCTTATTTTTCAACTTCATACCAAGGCTTTTGCTGTTTCACAAACATAGGTTTAAGGACAAAAAAAAAAAAAAAAAAAACGACAAATGTCTCTCTCTCTTTTTTTTTTACAATTTCAAAGGGGTTTACAACTAAAACACTTCATTTTAAGAGTTAATTAAGAGTAATTAATTATTTTACACTGGTATTAAAAATATTATTAAATTACCCTTAAACTCCTCTCTGCAATTGCATTCAACAAAGATTTTTTGGCCAAATTGCAAATAGTATTTGATTAAATGGGTGTAAATGTAAAATGTAGCAGGGTATTGAGAAAAGCGTGCCTAGTTCTTTGTTTTGTTTGTAGATTTTTATATTATAAACCTTCACCTTCTCATTCAATGGTTTCAGTTTTTCTCGAGCCAAAGTGTTCAGGTGAGTGATATGGCCCATGGGCCTCTTGTTTTATTGATATGATATAAAATGGTTTGGGATAGTTTACTTTAAAAACTGTGAAATGTATAAACGTCTAGAGCTATATATTATATGTCAAGTTCATATAAGTACATTTATCTATCAAAATGTCTATTTATTTAATAATGTCAAAGATTTTCTAATACTGCTCTTTTTTTATATCATGATTAGATCTCCATTTCACCAACCAATGTCTCCATACAATGTAAAGAATCAGCACCACGTATAAGGTACCATTGTGTTTTTGATGGAGGAGGGGGGGGGGTCACATAATTCTGTAAGGATTTATACCACGTATCAGGTACAATTGCCTTTTTGGGGAGGGGGGTTCACATAATTCTGTAAGGATTTAGTACCACGCATCAGGTACAATTTCGTTCTTGAGAAGGGGGGGTTCACATAATTCTGTAAGGATTTAGTATCACGTATAAGGTACAAATGTGTTCTTGGTGGGGGGGGGGGGGGGGGGGCTATACATTCTTGTTCTAGTGGGCACAGAACTCTGTAAAAATTAAGCACTTGTATGTTAAGTATAAGTTACAGATATGCATGTTTTCTTGTACTTGTGGGTACAGATTCCTAATAATTTGTACACCGGGGCTAAAGTATTTTATAAATATGATTTAGTGTACAGTGTAAAAAAGATTTTGTTATTGATGAATTTTATAAATCATATTGACCCAGTTTCAAACTATTTTGATAATGTTGCAAACCTTGCATTTTCACAAGTATCTTACTTGTGGTATTGTACAACTTTCATTTGTACCTTCATGATAGATATGATTTATATCCTTTCATATCACAATATAATTTAATATTTATATGTAATCATTATGAAATAATTGTATATGCCCCCTGAGGGCCCTAGGGCCTTGATTGGTAAATAAACATATTATTATTATTATTATTATTATTTTTATTATTATTATCATTATATGTAATCAAGTAGATAGGACTGAGGTTTCAATATTCAAAATCTGAAAAGAGAGGCATTTATGTATCAGAAAGATACATTTTATTAAGTGTAAAGAGAAACAAATTACTGATCTAAATACATTATACAGAAGAAATAGAGACTTGTTATTGATATAGATAATTCTAGTACAATGTTGTAATTTACAGAGAAATCTCCCTGACTGAGGAATTCAACACTGAATTCTTTTATGGAGTTAAACCACAGGATGAAGATAAAATAACTGTCTGCTCTAAATGATGTCTAGATTTGTGTTACAGAAATCTGTCAGAGTGACAGGTGTTAGGGGTGGTCGTCACATTTCCCGTGTATCGTCAAACCGGTTCTGGATCAGTGATTTATAGAACAATCTCATCCTGACAAACACAGCAGGGGATAAACTACATCATCTGACAGATATAAGTAGTATATGGGGAGTACACAACGTGAACAATGACGGTGTTTTGATTTATATAGACAGTGACTATAACATCAACAAACTGTCTACAGATAACAAGATAAAGACTAAATTAATAAAGTATAACACAGCACCATGGAAACCAGAGTGTATCTACAGCTCTCCCTCCACTGGAGACCTGCTGGTCGGGATGGTTAATACTGATATATATATAGAAGCCAAGTTATTCCGGTATAACTCCACAGGAGAAATCATACAGACCATACAGTACGACAACAACACAGGGCGGGGACTGTATATAGAACCTAGATACATCACAGAGAACAGCAATGGAGATGTTATTGTGTCTGACTGGTCCCGTGGTGTAGTGGTGACAGATGGTCGTGGTAAACATCGTTTCTCCTACAGAGGACCTCCATCAGGATCAGGACTATTTCCACGTGGAATCTGTACAGACGAACTGTCACACATCCTGGTGTGTAATAATAACACCCACACAGTTCAGATATTAGATCAAAATGGTAAATTTCTGTCACAGATACAGACTTCAGAGCACGGGATAGACGAACCATGCGGCCTTAGTTATGATAATTACACACACCTACTGTGGGTAGGCTCAGAAAACAACACAGTAAACATATACCGTGTGATATACGAGGATTCTCTAACAGGTAAGTCACACATTACTTTATTTGTTATGTGTTGTATATAAAAAAAAATCATGTGTGTACATACTAATAACCAACGTTAAAGATTATACCCGGGAGTCAGTTACAATGACTATATTCATTCTATTATGTGTAATTACATTACAATTACATTTTGTTGTAATCATAAATATAGTCTGATAATTAATTTCATGTTAATAATCTAAAATGAATGTGAAAGAATAATATAGTAAAAGATGTGATAGAGAGAATAAAATAACTATGGTTACATTAAGAGTGTGTATATATTCAGTTGTTTATGACAAGTGTCACAGGTGGTGAAAAATCAAGTCTCAACCGGGACTCGAACCCAGGGCCTCTGGCGTACCGTGCGAGCGCTCTAGCCACTGAGCTATTGAGACCCGATATATTGACTGACATTCACGCACCTGTGAACCCGGTGACATATTCCCCCTCTTTGTAGAAATTGAGACCCGATCTATAGCTCAGTGGTTAGAGCGCTGGCACGGTACGCCAGACGCCCTGGGTTCAGGTCCCGGTTGAGACTTGATTTTTCACCACCTGTGACACAAGCGTGTAGAATGAAGAATCCATAATATTGGGCCTGGGTTG